CATCTGCTAAAAACTACAAATTAGCCAGGCGCAGTGGTAGATTCCTGTAATCCCAGCTACTCGGGAGGCTGAGGCAGGAGAATCACTTGAACTCAGGTGGCAGAGGTTACAGTGAGCCAAGATCACACCATTGCACTCAGCCTGGCCGACAGAGTGAGTCTCTGTCTCAAAAGAAAAAGAAAAGAAAACGTTCTGTATGTTCATACCAATAATTTTCCTTAAGGTTTGTTCTTGAGCATTTTAACTCCATACCACCTACTGGCTAAATGCATTTCTTTATACTATATTGTCCAGTATTGTTCTCTTTATACTGTATTGGGCTTATTTGTTCATAGTTTCTAAAATTAGAGTGATGCTACTATTAACCATTCTTTTTTATTGGGCTTTCCAAACCCTGCTAGACAAGCTCTCATGGAGCTGTAACACTGTGTGAATTATTTATGCAAATATCAAGACAAATTAATGGTAGAAAATGTCTTTAGGGCTGGGCGCAGTGGCTCATACCTATAATCCCAGCACTTTGGGAGGCAGAGGTGGGTGGATCACTAGGTCAGGAGTTTGAAACCAGCCTGACATGGTGAAACCGAATCTCTACTAAAAAATACAAAAATTAGCCGGGTGTGATGGTGTGCACCTGTAGTCCCAGCTACTCGGGAGGCTGAGGCAGGAGAATTGCTTGAACCCAGGAGGTGGAGGTTGCAGTGAGCTGAGATCATGCCACTGCACTCTAGCCTGGGCAACAGAGCGAGACTCTGTCACACATACACAAAAATGTCTTTTAGTTATGTTGAGTTCACGCTTTTGAAATACATATGTATTGCCACTTATTTAGACTGAATCACAGTACTGTAATGACTGCTCTGAGTTTCTTCCCAAAAGGGTGACTCCAAACATAACTGGGAGAAAAGGAAGCAGGCGGCCCAGCCTGCCTGGCACAGTGGTGTGGCTCCTGTCAGGCCGTGTACTTAGCTCTGCCTCATCCGAGTCCGGCTGTGCCTGCTTCACCCCACCCTCGAATATTTTCAGTGTGGTTTTTTTTCCTTCTCAAATGTAATTTATGAAAAAGTAGGTTACAGAACTAAGAGCAAACAAACCCATGTGGCATCGCATTTTAAACATAAAGTCACACTTGCTCTATTCAACATCAAACTTCTGCAGATCGAACATAAAGGCCGTTTTCATCTTCCGTTTCAAGATACACTTTCAGCAGCTTGCAGAATGGCAGCCAAGATGTGTGTTAATCCTTTCTGTGAGCGCGGACTCCGCTGCGGCTGCTGTGGGGCCAGCATCTGAGTTCCACAAGCAGTGAGGGACAGGAATAACAAGGCCAGGTGTTCCCCGCCTGCCCTCGGAGTGAAAGGGCTGCTTCACTGCGCCTCTCCCCTGTGCTGCGGGAAACCACGGGCAGGAGTGTGGAGCGTGCCCAGGGGCCTGGCCAGGCCAGAGCTCCAGGCTCAGCAGTGTTGGCACTCACCCTCGCACACACCTTGGTTTTGGCAGCACGCTTCCCAGAGATCCACATTATATAAGGCTGTGGAAATAAAGTTCATGAAAGAGAACAGTATGAGAACAAAAATGTGAATGTGTTTCCACTAGCCCAAATCACCAAATGCTTTAATCCAAATTATTTTTAGATGTTTATTATTGTTTTTTAAGTAGATCTGCCTTGCCAAGAATAGAGTGGCTGATTTTGTAAATAATTGGAGTGGGTTTTGTTGTTGTTTATTTTTCATCCCCAGTGAGGAATTGTTTGTGGGTTTGAAATAGATGTGAAAGTAACTCAGATTATATCTGAAATGACTCAGTGGCTATTAAATGGCATATTAGTGGAATTACGTCCTTGGCTGTGTGAAGGTGGCTTTTGTGAAGAATTCTGGTCAGTTGGTTTTCTCATGCTGCATTCTGGAGGATGTAGCCAGCATTGTTAAGGATGTGGAGGGGGATGGCCGGGCGCAGGCTCACATCTGTAATCCAGCACTTTGGGAGGCCGAGGTGGGTGGATCACCTCAGGTCAGCAGTTCGAGACTATCTTTGCTGAAAATACAAAAAATTAGCCAGACGTGGTGGCGGGCACCTATAATCTCAGCTACTCAGGAGGCTGAGGCAGGAGATCACTTAAACCTGAGAGGCAGAGTTTGTGGTGAGCCGAGATCATGCCATTGCACTCCAGCCTGGGCGACAAGAGCGAAACTCGGTCTCAAAAGAAAAAGAAAAAGAGTGATGTGGAGTGGGAAGCTTACTGACTCAGAGGGTGGTGCCCTGAGCACTGGCTTCCCGTGTTTAGCCAGTGGGCTTACCCATCAGAGCGCCGTAAAATCCCATGGGGCTTAGGGACTAGGTTTTATACCTGCCACAGTGTACAGCCCTGCAAGTTCTGCTTCTCTGAGAGCCTCTGACCCCGCTTTGTCTAGGCAGCGCCGTTTGCAGAGGGCTCTGAAGTACAGCTTGGGAGCTGGTTTCCCAACACCACGGGGTGAAGGGGAGTTACATGTTATGCCTGCACTTTGGAAAGATCCCTGGCACCTGTGAGGAAGGTGATCTAGAAAAGAACAAGCTGGGAGTCCAGAGAGAGGATGAGAGATGCGAGCAGATGCTGGGGTTAGACAGACATGAGAGAGAACCTCCTTGAAAGCCCATGTGGCGGCACGTGAGTGCTGGGGGCTGGGGGTTGATGGGAGAATCTTCTGCCACCTCTGGTGGATCACATCACTGGGTGACCATGTCTTGGTGACTTCACATGCCATTCCCCAGGCTGTCTGTCCTGGGCAGGGAAGAGATCACAGAGCTTAGGAAAGGACATGGCCATACCCTACAGGTGGCTCTGATGATGGATGCCCAAGGGAGTGAGTCTTTGTCATTGGGTGTTACACGTGGGTGAGAAGTCGACCCCTCGTCTGGCTGGCAGCTGAGAGCTGGAATTCAAGAATGTGGGGCAGCCAGGGAGGTCACTTAGAGACACATTGAGTATGAGGTGTGTCCAATGGGACATCTGCATGGTTGTGTTCAGCAGGGGTTGAATCCTGAGCTGGGACGAGGGAAGCCTGGGTAGCCAGTGTGAGACTCAGATGTCTTCCGATGTCCCTAGAACAGAACATGATAGGGTCATTTGTACGGCGGTCATAGTCGAGGCCAGAGTCCAGGCTGTTCTTCCTCTCTCCCCATATTCTACCACGGGTCCTCATTCTGATTCTTCCTCTGAAGCTTCTCAGTTCCCCACTAGAATTCCTTTTTTGGGGGGGCAGGGTCTCACTCTGTCACAAGGCTGCAGTGCAGTGATAAGATCTTGGCTTATTGCATCCTCTGCCTCCCAGGTTCAAGCAATTCTCCCACCTCAGCCTCCCAATAGCTGAAATTACGGGTGCACACCACCAAACCCAGCTAATTTTCTGAATTTCAGCAGCAGTGGGTTTTGCCATGTTGGCCAGACTGGTGTCAAATTCCTGACCTCAAGTGATCCTCCTACCTCAGCCTCCCAAAGTGCTGGGAAGACAGACGTGAGCCACCGCACCTGGCCTGGAATTTTGTCTGGCCTCTGAGCTGTAGGATGGTCTGCTGGTACATTTTGCTGTTGGTGGGCATTGTTTGATGGTGGTGGTAATGGTGGTTCCAGATGATTCTATGTGTTTCTCCTATTTCTTAGGTGACAGACCCTAGGAAATCCATTTGGTTCCTGCAGATAAGTTAACAGAGAGAGGCTCTCGTTCACCTTTATCAGATGTCACCTGTAGAAAGGTGGCAGAGAGCTGGCGCACTGCCACTAGGTGCAGAGATGTGATTGCAAACCGAGAGGCCTGATTGCTGCTCTTGGGAGTGAGACTCCTCTGTCCTGGACCGTCCTCCCCCCGTCATGTGACTGCTTGGTTTCAGAGAGCTGGTGTATTCCCAGGAGAGGCAGGGCTGAGCATTCTTCCAGCTGCGGTTTCCCCTGGCGTTAGTATTTTCCAAAACATTACAAGAACTAACATGAGAAAAAAGAAATAGCCTTTATCTCTCGTGCCTGACAGCTAATCACATTACTTTGGGGATTAGATAAAAATAAATCATTTTTTATTCCTATAGTTAGCTACTGTGATGACCCAAGTAATCATTTGTGAGAGAATTTCAAAATTTAAATCAGATATATAGAATTCAGCTTAGGGAACAAGTAAATACAGAAAAGGCCATGTGGGCCAGGCACAGTGGCTCACACCAGTCATCCCAGCACTTTGGGAGGCCGAGACCAGCCCGGACAACATAGTGGAAACCCATCCCTACAAAATACCCCCTCTCAAAAAAAAATCTGGATGTGGTGGTGCATGCTTGTAGTCCCAGCTATTTGTAAGGCTGAGGTGGAAGGAAGGTTTGAACCCGGGAGGTAGAGGCTGCAGTGAGCCAAAGTCACGGCACTGCACTCCAGCCTGGGTGACAGAGCCAGAACCTGTGTCAAAAAAAACAAAAGACAAAACGAAGTCATGTAAACTTGAAGAGAGTTGCCATTTGTCTCATTAATGATGTTGTAGAGGCTGTTTGCTCTCAGCTGTGTCCCCCTGGAAGCCACTGTGGGGACCCCCACTGTGCTCCTGATGTGTCGGGGGTGATGCTTCAAGACCCTGAAGGCAGTCTTTGCTTCCCTGTTCTGTTTCACTCCCTAATACTTTACAAAACTCTGCAATGAGCTGGGTGTAGTGGCTCATGCCAGTAATTCCAGCACTTTGAGAGGCCGAAGCAGTGGATTACCTGAGGTCAGAAGTTTGAGACCAGCCTGGCCAACACAGTGAAACCCTGTCTGTACTAAAAAATACAGAAAATTAGCTGGGCATGGTGGTATGCATCTGTGATCCCAGCTACTTGGGAGGCTGAGGCAGGAGAATCACTTGAACCTGGGAGGTGGAGGTTGCAGTGAGCCAGGATCATGCCATCACACTCCAGCCTGGGTGACAGAGCAAAAACTCCCTCTCAAAAATGAATGAATGAATGAATAATGCAGTGCTTTCCTCTAACATATCTGGTTTTGTTACCAGGCCATGTCCTCATAGAGATTTCAAGCACCCACAAGAAACTCAACGAGAGTCTTGATGAAAATGTACGTGATCTGTTTTTCTCTTTACAGAATACACTTGTTTTATGTTTTAGAATTTATTTTGCTTAAAGTCTCAAATCTGGTGTGAATGTTTTATTTCCTTTTGTTAACAGTTTAAAAAATTCCACAAAGAGATTATCCATGAGCTGGAGAAGAAGATAGAACTTGACGTGAAATATATGAATGTAAGTGCACAATTCTCCAGCCCCAGCCTTGGGCTGCCTGACCTCCCAGCCCGAGGAGAACTCGTCCCCACTGTTTACTCATCAGCAGCAAACAGAAGTGGAGTTCAGTGTTGATCATGCCCAGATCCATGAAACCGACAAGGTCCCTTTGGGATGGGTGAGCTGGTTTTTGCTAACATTTGGGATCTCTCTTAGAAAGTGTAAAGGCCAGGTGAGGTGGCTCACGCCTGTAATCCCATCATTTTGGGAGGCTGAGGTGGGCAGATCCCTTGAGGTCAGGAGTTCAAGACCAGCCTGGTCAACATAGTGAAACCCTGTCTCTACATAAAATACAAAAAAAAATTAGCTGGGCATGGTGGTGCGTGCGTGTAGTCCCTATTTGGGATGTTGACGCAGGAGAATGGCTTGAACCTGGGAGGCGGAGGCTGCAGTGACCCAAAATCATGCCACTGCACTCCAGCCTATGCAATAGAGCTAGACTGTGTCTAAAAAAAGGGGGGCATGGCACCCCTTGTTTATCCCCTGTTGTTCATTCCAGCAGGTTTCTGCAGGTCCCCTTCAGGGTGGCCCTACAGCCCCAGTATTCAGGGCTCTTGCCAGCTTCCTTGCTGCTGTAGAGAACTTGCTCCTGCCACCCAAAGTCCCTTGCTGCTCACCAAGCCCTCTGTGTGGCAGTCAGTGTGCAAGCTGCCCTGAAATCATCCCTTCTTTGTGGTCCTTGTTAAGCCTGCTGCCTGTCTGCACTCCTGGCAAGAGGCCACAGGACCTGTACAGCTGCTAAGGTGCATTTCATGCCAAGTGATTTACATGTGTTATCTGATAGTTATCCCTCGGAAACTCTAAAACATAGACACCTTCTTTTTTTTTTGAGATAGAGTCTTGCTCTGTCACCCAGGCTGAAGTACAGTGGTGTGATCTCAGCTCACTGCAACCTCTGTCTCCCAGGTTCAAGCAATTCTCATGCCTCAGCCTCCCAAGTAGCTGGGATTACAGGTGCCTGCCACTGCACCCTGCTAATTTTTGTACTTTTAGTAGAGACGGGGTTTCACCATCTTGGCCAGGCTAGTCTCAAACTCCTGACCTCATGATGCACCTGCCTTGGCCTCCCAAGGTGCTGGGATTACAGGCATGAGGTGATGCACCAAGCCAGACACCCTTCTTATCTGCACCTCACAGATTATAGGGAAAATAGGGATTTGAATTCTGATGTGGGTCTGTTAGACTTAAGACCCTGAGTTCACTGGATGTGGTGGCTCACCCCTGTAATCCCAGCACTTTGGGAGGCCAAGGCAGGCAGATCATTTGAGGTCAGGAGTTCGAGACCAGCCTGGCCAACATGGTGAAACCCATCTCTACTAAAAATACAGCTGGGTGTGGTGGTATGTGCCTGTAATCCCAGGTACTAGAGAGGCTGAGGCAGGAGAATCACTTGAACCCAGGAAATGGAAGTTGCAGCAAGCCTAGGTTGCGTCACTGCACGCCAGCCTGAGTGACAGAATGAGAGTCAGTCTCAAAAAAAAGAGACCCTGCATTCTTAAATACTCTGCGACACAGCACCCAAAACAACCCTAAGCTATTACACCTGTTCATTCTGTTTCTTGAAATTGTAAATAATAAAACAGCCAGGAACATGTGACCTAATGTTGTCTATTTCTTCACCAAAGCACTTAACCGGTTTGGTGGCTAAGTGCTTTGGGTGGGTCTTTGAGACTTTGGATGGCAGAAGAAAGTTAACCACCCAGCGTCAAAAAGCCTTTGAGGAAAGAAAGAATAAAAGACAGAGAAGATGTCCTCAGAGAACAGCCATTCTGGTCAGGGGCTCCTTGTTTAAACAGGGACCTTTAGAATAAAGGCAAGACATTAACATTAAATGGAGGGGGCCGTGTGAACTGAGGGGTGAGGGCCCTAGCCAATGTGAGGGTGGTGTGAGCTGTGGTGTGAGGGTCCCAGCCAACATGCAGATGGTGTGAGCTGTGGGCTAAGGGACCCAGCCAGCGTAAGGATGGTGTAAAATGAGTGAGGGCCCCAGCTATTGTGAGGATGGTGTGAACTGCGGGGTGAGGGTCCCAGCCAACATACAGATGATGTGAACTGCAGGATGAGGGTTCCAGCCAGCATAAGGATGGTGAAATGAGTGAGGATGTCAGCCAGTGTGGGGATGATGTGAACTGCAGGGTGAGGGTTCCAGCCAGCATAAGAATGCTGAAATGAGTGAGGGCGTCAGCCAGTGTGGGGATGATGTGAATTGCAAGGTGAGGGTCCCAGCCAGTGTGCAGATGTTGTGAACTGCAGGGTGAGGGTCCCAGCCAGCATAAGGATGCTGTGAAATGAAAAGTGAGGGCCCTGGGCAGTGTGACAATGGTGTGAACTGCAGGGTGACGGTCCCAGCCAGCATAACGATGGTGTGAAATGAGTGAGGGCCCTGGCCATCGTAAGGATGGTGTGAACTGTCAGGCGAGGGTCCCAGCCAGCATGCAGATAGTGTGAACTGCAGGGTAAGGGGTCCCAGCCAGTACGAGGATGGTGTGAACTGGCGTGGGTGTGGGGGACCTGGCCAGCAGGAGGATGGTGCGAACTGGCTTGGGTGTGGGGGCCCCAGCCAGTGGGAAGATGGTGTGAAACTGGCTTGGGTGTGGGGGCCTCAGCCAGAGGAAGGATGGTGTGAAACTGGTACGGGTGTGGGGGCCTCAGCCAGCAGGAGGGTGGTGTGAAACTGGCACGGATGTGGGGGCCTTGGCCAGCAGGAGGATGGTGTGAACTGGTGTGAGTGTGGGGGCCCCAGCTAGCATGAGGATGGCGTGAAGTGAGAGTATCAGGCCCTGGACAGCCACACATAGTGGAAGTATAAGCAGAAGCAACCATGTGACAATTTGTGTGGCACCACAGTAAACAGCATTTAACTTACAGGCAACTCTAAAAAGATACCAAACAGAACACAAGAATAAATTAGAGTCTTTGGAAAAATCCCAAGCTGAGTTGAAGAAGATCAGAAGGAAAAGCCAAGGAGGACGAAACGCACTCAAATATGAACACAAAGAAATCGAGGTGAGCTTTTTAGTAATATCTTGTTTTCTTTTGTTGTTGATAATTTGTACAGTTTAAGAGGAGGTTGGCCGGGTGTGGTGGCTCACCCCTTTAATCCCAGCACTTTGGGAGGCCAAGGTGGTAGATCATTTGAGGTCAGGAGTTCAAGACCAGCCTGGTCAACATGGTGAAATGCCATCTCTACTAAAAATAAAAAAATTAGCTGAGGTGGTGGCAGGTGCCTGTAGTCCCAGCTACTTGGGAGGCCGAGGCAGGAGAATCGCTTGAACCTAGGAGGCAGAGGTTGCAGGGAGCCAAGATTGTGCCACTGCACTCCAGCCTTGGTGGCGGAGCAAGACTCCATCTCAAAAAAAATTGTTTGAAGTTGATCTCATAGAGGCGGGAAGTAGAATGCTGGTTACCTGTAATTCTCTAGATAGCTCAGGATGGTGAGTGTGTCGATGCCAGGGGAGGGGGAGGACGAAGGAGTGGTTGGTTAATGGGTACAAATGTACAGATGGATAAAAGGAATAAATTCTAGTGTCCAGGAGCAGAGTCGGGTGACAGTAGTTAACAACAATGCCTTGTATATTTCAAAATAATTAGAAGAGAGGTCTTGGAACGTACCCTACACATAGAAATAATAACTTAAGGTGATAGATACCCAAGGACCCTGCCTTGATCACTATTACATGTGCCGCATAAATATACATAAATATCATGTATCAGTTTTTAAAAATAAGCATTTTGACTGAGAGGTGAAGGATGTAGAGTTTTCCAGAGTTAAGAATAATTAGTTAGCAGCCTCCTGCCAAAACATGGGCTTTTTTCTCCTGGCTCTGAAAGGAGAAGGGACTCTCCATGATTGGTGTTACTATTCCCATTGTGCAGATGGGGAAAATTAGGCTTAGGTTATATCATATTTTATTATTCCATTTTCATGCTGCTGATAAAGACATACCTGAGACTGGGCAGTTTACAAAAGAAAGAGGTTTAATGGACTCATGGCTCCCCATGGCTGGGGAGGCCTCACAATCATGGCAGAAGGCAAGGAGGAGCGAGTCACCTCATACATGGAAGACAGCAGGCAAAGAGAGAGCGTGTGCAGGGAAACTCCCCCTTATAAAACCATCAGATCTTGTGAGACTCATTCACTATCACAGGCCTAGCATGGGAAAGACCAGCTCCCACCAGGTCCCTCCCGAGACACGTAAGAATTATGGAAGCTGCAATTCAAGATGAGATTTGGGTGGGGACACAGCCAAACCATATCATTTATTGTTGGCATTTGCAACTGGGTTTGAACCTGGAACTTTTTGGTTCCTAAGTCCATGGTGCTTCCCAGTAGGACACGGTCATATCTCTGGAGTACAAAGTAATATTTGTGCAAATCACCCCATGGGAATATCACGCTGTTCAGCAACTTCTCTTTGCACATGAGTCAGGGACCTCAAGAAGAACAATGGTATCTACCTAGGTCAGGTTACAACGTACTTTCCTCTCATGTGTTTATTATTCAAATAAAGCAGGCATGAAGATGGCAGAAGATAAACGTCAGGCTGCGAGCTATCTGATGCTCATGTCATACTTACGTAATTATCATTTATTTTTTTAGTACGTGGAGACCGTTACCTCTCGTCAGAGTGAAATCCAGAAATTTATTGCAGATGGTTGCAAAGAAGCTCTGCTTGAAGAGAAGAGGCGCTTCTGCTTTCTGGTTGACAAGCACTGCAGCTTTTCAAACCACATACATTATTATCACTTACAGGTGGGTGTGGTGGCAAATTGCATTGAATGTATTAATAACTTTATTTTATATTTAAAATGCCCCGGAAGGCTGGGCCATGGCTCATTCCTGTAATCCCAACACTTTGGGAGGCGGAGGCAGGCCAATCACCTGAGATCAGGAGTTCAAGACCAGCCTGGGCAACATGGCAAAACAATGTTTATAAAAAATTTTAAAAACTAGCCAGGCATGGTAACATGTGCCTGTAGTCTTAGCTACTCCGGAGGCTGAGGTGGGAGGATCCCTTGAGCCTGGGAAGTTGAGGCTGCAGTCAGCTATGATTGTGCCACTATACTCCAACCTGAGCAACACAGCAGAACCCTGTCTCCGTCAGTCCATACATGCAGAGATATACATACAGGCACGCCCATCACCTTCCACAGGTCCCCAGTATAAAGCAGCGGGCCATTTTCCCAGTGAAAAGATTCCAATAGGCCAGGCACAGTGGCTCACGCCTGTAATCCCAGCACTTTGGGAGGCTGAGGCATGTGGACCATGAAGTCAGGAGATCAAGACCATCCTGACCGACATGGTGAAACCCCATCACTACTAAAAATAAAAAAATTAGCCAGGCATGGTGACACATGCCTATAGTCCCAGCTATTCCGGAGGCTGAGGCAGGAGATTTGCTTGAACCTGGGAGGTGGAGGCTGCAGTGAGCCGAGATCATGCCACTGCACTCCAGCCTGGGCAACAGAGTGAGACTCTGTCCCACCCCCCAAAAAAAAATTAACAAAAAATACATCCATATTTGAAGTCTTTCATAAAATAATGCTTCATCATTGAGAATAGCACGTTTGTTCTCACCTGTGAGTCAGCTTTTCCCAGGCTCTCTCTGATGTGTCCTCAGCATCAATGTCTCCACCATAGCTGCGGTGAGTCCCAGCGGGCCCAGGCCTACCCCACCTGAGCAATTTGAGATGCTACCTCCATGGGTCTGTGTTTGGGGGTCACGGGCAGTTCTGTCCCAGCCCATGGGCCCCATTCACACACGTCAGTACAGCTGGGCTCAGTGATGCAGTCATTCCTCTTGATGGTGTTTGTTCCTGGTTTCCTCATCACCCTCCTTCCAGCACATGCAGCTGTGAGCGTAGAACCCCCAGGAATCATTATGCAACACATGCCATAATGTGTTGTTTTAAATTATGAACTCTTTTGGGCCTTTGTAAACATCCAAAACTAGCAGTGGTTGAGGCCAAATATTCACTGTTGTCGACAGTAAAGTCAGAGTGTTCCAAAATACGAGAAACTTTGCAGGAGCTTGAACATGAGTCAACTTCATCTTTGTTTTAATGTTAAAGTACCTTGTATGTAGGCAAATGTATTTTCTATGCACTTTTTGCAGCTTTAAAGAGTATTCAGGACTGGGCATGGTGTCTCACATCTGTAATCGCAGCACTTTGGGAGACCCAGGTGGGCAAATCACTTGAGGTCAGAAGTTCGAGACCAGCCTGGCCAACATGGTGAAACCTGTCTCTATTAAAAATACAAAAATTAGCCATGTGTGGTGGGCGCCTGTAATCCCAGCCACTTGGGAGGCAAGGCAGGAGAATTGCTTGAACCTGAGAGGCTGAGGTTACAGTGAGCCCAGATCGCACCATTGCACTCCAGCCTGGGCGACAGAGTTAAGACTGTCTCAAAAAAAAAAAAAAAAAAAAAACAAAAACGAAGGACTGATCAACTCCCTAAACTAAAACAGATTTAAAATGAGTACAGCAGACCAGGCACAGTGGCTCATGCCTGTAATCCCAGCCCTTTGGGTGGTCAAGGCAGGAGGATCACTTGAGCCCAGGGCAACATAGTGAGACCTTGTCTCTACAAAAGTAAATTTTTTTTATAGCCAGGTGAGGCGGTGTGCACCTTTGGCTCCAGCTACTCAGGAGGCTGAGGTGGAAGGATTGCTTAGCCCAGGAGTTTGAGGCTGCACTGAGCTGTGATCATGCCAGTGCACTCCAGCCTGGGTGACAGAGCCAAGATCCTCTCTCAAAAAAGAAAAAGAAAATGGTTTTGGCCCCGCGCGGTGGCTACACCTGTAATCCCAGCACTCTGGAAGGCCGAGGCGGGTGGATCACAAGGTCAAGAGATTGAGACCATCCTGGTCAACATGGTGAAACCCCGTCTCTGCTAAAAATACAAAAATTAGCTGGGCATGGTGGCACACACCTGTAATCCCAGCTACTCAGGAGGCTGAGGCAGGAGAATTGCTTGAACCAAGGAGGTGAAGGTTGCAGTGAGCCAAGATTGTGCCATTGCACTCCAGCCTGGGTAACAAGAGTGAAACTCCTTCTCAAAAAAAAGAAAGAAAATGGTTATAGCCAAGGAAAGAATTGCTGTATTAGGTGATCACTTTTGTCAACAGTGCATCTGCACTAGTTTTGGGAATGTAGAGTTCACTTTAGAATCTTCTCTTTCCAGAGTGAGGGCATCCTGTGGCACCGGGATCGCAGGCTGGAGGGTTCAGAGGTGACCTGGAGGTCCTCTTCCCGTGTGACACCCCGCCACGTCATGAGGCAGCCTGGCCCCTTTTCAGGGAGCTCCAGTTATCAGCAGAGTCTGTCTAACCATAGGTCCCAGTAATGCTTTATAGAGTGACACAGACCAAACCTGTTCCTTTCTATACTGGAAGTTTCTTCAACTATCTGATAACTGGTTTTGTGACTTGCCTTAACTTAGCTAAAGCACCCCAGACCTTTCCGTGGAGCTGGGAGGAAGCAGGCCCAAGCGATGGGTCCGCGTTGCTACTGAGGGTCGGGTGGTGTTGACCTGGTGTGTCAGGGTGACAGTTTGGGGTGGGACGGCATCGACCTAGTGTGTCAGGGTGACATTTGGGGACAAGGGTGGTATGGGGGCTTTGCCGCCCCGAGGACTGACATCAGCTCCCCTGCCTCTCTTTGTAAGCTGAGAGGCTGATTAAAAGCAGCGTAACTGTACACAGCTGCAGGGCAGGCCACTGACTTCCCTTTTCTAACCGGAGTGCTGCTCAGAAAAGGGGTTCACTGGAAGGGCCTGGGGGCCCCTCTGGGGGCCCAGTTGTCAGAAGCAGAGCCAGGCTTGTGGGTGCTGGAGGGGCGTTCGGCCTCCAGGGCTACAGGGTCTTATCCCCACTGGTTAGGTTCTGCTCTGCAAAGCCTTGTTCGGCCTGTGGTGGGATATCCCTCAGCACTGGCCACCACTCACCGACGACAGTTCCTCTTTCCCCTAGATACTCTCAGGACAGTCTGAGTCACTTCTCTAATACATGAACTGGTCAGAGTCAACTCCTGGGCCGGTGGCCTGTGTTGGAAGTGCTGCTTTTAGTAGGAGTGGGAGGGAGAAAATGATGGTTAGTTAGTGTTTTGGGGGCCACCTGGAAAATGGGATTCATGCAGATTGCTCCCTGCCTCCCTCTGAGTTTCTGTTCTTGTTCTTAACCATTTACCATCCCTGTATTAGTCCTAAGCTCTGTATTCACAGAGAGCAGGAAATTTTCATTTGGTTGACAGTTTACGCCCCTCTCAGCCAGTGAGATACAGCAGATGCCCTACGTGCTTAAACTGCTCCCCGAGTTTAACCCAGAGCCCCCACACTCCTGTTGCTAAGCCAGTAATATGTTATCAGCAATATGACAAGATGGAATTTTTCTCAGCTCTTCAAACAGTCGTCTTTGTCTTTAGTCTTCTTCTTTTGGATTTGCAGTCTGCAGAACTACTGAATTCCAAGCTGCCTCGGTGGCAGGAGACCTGCGTTGATGCCATCAAAGTGCCAGAGAAAATCATGAATATGATCGAAGAAATAAAGACCCCAGCCTCTACCCCCGTGTCCGGGACACCTCAGCCTTCGCCCATGGTCGAGAGGAGCAGTGTGGTAGGAGTCAGTTTTCTCTTCCAGATTTCAATTGTGTGTTTCCTAACTTCATCCGGACCGAATTCGTCTGTGGTGGTGGAAATCACAAGTCCCCCTTTGTAACTTTGAAGACCACCTTTTTGCACCTCTGTCCTCTTACACGCAGGTGTGAAGTTAGCTGGGTGCATGTTTTATACTATGTTTGGTGCTATTATCTTTGTTTTGGAAATTTTATTCTTACTGGGTTGTTTTGTTGGGTTTTTGTTTTTGTTTTGAGATGGAGTCTTGCTCTGTCGCCCAGGCTGGAGTGCAATGGCATGATCTCTGCTCACTGCAACCTCTGCCTTCCTGGGTTCAAGCAATTCTCCTGCCTCAGCCTCCCAAGTAGCTGGGATTACAGGTGCCTACCACCACACCTGGCTAATTTTTTGTATTTTTTATTTTTTTTATTTTTTTTTGGAGATGGAGTCTCTCGCTCTGTCACCAGGCTAAATGTGGTGGCACCATCTTGGCTCACTGCAACCACCACCTCCTGGGTTCAAGCAATTCTCCTGCCTTGGCCTCCCGAGTAGCTGGGACTACAGGCGTGTGCCACCACACCCAGCTAATTTTTTGTATTTTTAGTAGAGATGGGATTTCACCATGTTGACCAGGATGGTCTCTATCTCTTGACTTTGTGATCCGCCCGCCTCAGCCTCTCAAAGTGCTGGGATTACAGGTGTGAGCCACCGCACCCAGCTTCTTACTGTTTTTAATTGTAATCATTTCAACTAAGTCTATTCCCAAGGAAGGAACCACAGTATCACAAAATGAATTAGACACACTGATGGTTTTCATCACAATGTCACATCAAGAAAAAAACAGGCATCAAAGTATTCACAGTAATGAATTCACACATTCGTAGTTTGCTGATCTTTGAACATGAGCTGTGCGTGGGGACTGGGATGTAGCAAGTAGTTTAAACGCATGGGGCCACTCTTCCTGCCCATCTCAAACCCCCTGAAATGTGGCCGGGCACAGTGGCTCACACCTGTGATCTCAGCTCACTGCAACCACTGCCTCCTGAGTTCAAGCGATTCTCCTGCCTCAGCCTCTCGAGTAGTGAGACTATAGGCACACGCCACCAACCACGCCCAGGGTCGGTGGCAGGAGACCTGCATTGACACCATCAAAGTGCCAGAGAAAATCATGAATGTGATTGAAGAAATAAAGACCCCAGCCTCTACCCCCATATCCTACCCTTGTAACTTTGGGAGGCTGATCACTTGAGGCCAGAAGTTCGAGACCAGCCTGGCCAACATGGTAAAACACTATCTCTACTAAAAATACAGAAAATAGTTGGGTGTGGTAGCACCTGCCTGTAATCCAGCTACTTGGGAGGCTGAAGCAGGAGAATCATGTGAATCTGGGAGACGGAGGTTGCAGTGAGCCAAGATCATACCACTACACTCCATCCTGGGCCACAGAGTGAGACTCTCTCAAAATAAATAAATAAAAATAAAGCCTATGATTTAAAAAAAAAACAGCCTTGGGAATCTGTGTAATTCCAATTCTGCATGATACTAATATTAGACTAATACAGAATTTTTCACAGGTTAGGAAAGATTACGACACCCTTTCTAAATGCTCACCAAAGATGCCCCCCGCTCCTTCAGGCCGGGCGTATACCAGTCCTTTGATCGATATGTTTAATAACCCAGCAACGGCCGCACCAAAATCAGAAAGGATAAATAATTCAACAGGTAAGAGATTTCTTTGAAGATACATTTTAAATTTGTTTTAAGATAAGCTGTGAAATAAATATTTTGGATAAATGTGTTGCAAGGTCTGGAGGCAAACAAGCAGGTATGTTGGATGCATTCAGCCCTGGCTGTGCAGGCGTGAGTTCAGAACAAATACAGGTCTAGACTATGAGACGCACTGATAAGTGATAGATTTCTCTGATGCTCACCAGTTCTGCGCACTGACTGATGTTTAGCCAGCGCAAACATACTGTAGAGAATTAATATATTTACAAATAAATGGAGGCCGGGCATGGTGGCTCATGCCTGTAATCCCAGCACTTTGGGAGGCTGAGGCAGGTGGATCACCTGAGCTCAAGAGTTCGAGACCAGCCTGACCAATATGGTTAAACCCCGTCTCTACTAAAAATACAAAAATTAGCCAGAGGTGGAGGCATGCACCTGTAGTCCCAGCTACTCAGGAGGCTGAGACAGGAGAATTGCTTGAACCCGGGAGGCAGAGGTTGCAGTGAGCTGAGATCGCACCACTGCACTCCAGCCTGGACAACAGAGTGAGACTCTGTCTCAAAAAGAAAAGAAAAGAAAATTTCTGGTGGGTTCAACAGCAGCAAGGTAGTGAGTGGCAGGTTAAAGGGGCAGCAAGGTGTGTGTTGTAATCATGAAGAATCTGCAAGAATAAAGCAGAAAGAGATCTGGCATTGTTTTAAATTAAAGATGCTTGCTGTATTACTAGCTCGGGAAAACTCGAATGGAAAACAAATATATATATATATATTTATTTGTTTGTTTTTTTAAAAGGGCCAGAAACAGTGGCTCACACCTATAATCCCAGCACTTTGGGAGGCCAGGGTGGGAGGATAACTTGAGGCCAGGAGGTCAGGACCAGACTGGGCAACATAGTGAGACACTGTCTCTAGAAAAAAATTTAAAACGAGCCTGGCAGAGCAGTGTGTGCCTGTAGTCCCAGCTACTTAGGAGGCTGAGGAGGGAGGATCCTTTAAGTCTGGGAAGTCCAGGCTGCAGTGAGCTGTGATCCTGCTACTATACTCCAGCCTAGGCAACAGAATGAGACTCTGTCTCAAATTGTATGCTTATATATATGTATATGTTTTACCTTTTCTTTCCCTGGAGTGGAAATATCAGCCTGCATTTGAATGGAAACATGAACAGTACAGCCTCGTGCTCATGAGTAGAGGCTCTGGGGTGGGCCTGCTGGAGCTGCTTTCTGGCCCAGCCCAGCACTTGCCAGCAGTGGGGTCTGTCCTGTGGATGATGGCAGCACCTTCCTCCTGGGAGCCTGGCAGGATGGCAGCTGTGAGGCATTGAGATTGGTGACGGGCCCCTGGTGAGGACTCCATAAATGGAACTCATCCTCACCTCATCCTTCCCACGCCCGGGGGTGCGAAGCTGAGCAGCTGGCATGGCAAGACCAACTGCATTTGCAGTTTCTTCCTTTGTGGACATTGGCAGTTGGGTTTGAACCGTGGCCCCAGCCTGCCTTTGTGATTGCAATTGTGACGGAGCAGTTTGCCTCTCTCAGGAGAGCCATCCCGGCCAAAGCAGAGTGCAGATAAACCTGGCAGACGCCGCCTTGTCCTTGGGTCCAGAAAAGAGCCTGCAGCTGCAGGGATCCTCTTCTGCACTGTGCGTGGCTTCAGGCCATGAGCTGCCTCTGTTTCTCAGCAGTCCCTGTCCCTTCTGGGCAATGATCAAGGCGAGGAAATAGGACAGGGTCAGTTTCCGTGCAAGGAGCATTGGTGGCAAGATGGGCACGGGTGGCTGTCTGGGGTTTGTTCATTGGAACATGCCTATTGATTCTCATGCTTTGAGAAGCCATTACCACTACACCCCCTCCAACAGATACTTCCGAAGATCCCAGTTTACAACGATCAGTTTCAGTTGCAACTGGACTGAACATGATGAAAAAGCAGAAAGTGAAGACCATCTTCCCGCACACTGCAGGCGCCAACAAGACCTTACTCAGCTTTGCACAGGAAGACGTCATCACACTGCTCATCCCCGAGGAGAAGGATGGCTGGCTGTACGGAGAACATGATACATCCAAGGCGTAAGTCTGGGAGTGACGTTCCCCGCGGGGCTCCAGACAGCCACTCGCTTCCAGAGTAGCCAAGCTGCAGGTCGTCTTTGTGGACGTGTTCACATTTTAGCCAAAGTTAAGTTTATGGTTTAGTTCTAGTTTAGTTAACTCGAGTTATTCGATCCAAGGCTATTTTCTGTATGTCTGTGCATGTAGAGATACAATGGTGCATGTCTAGGTTATTAGATCATGTGAAGTTACCTCTCTGAAAGTAGTAAACATTCTTTTGCTTTTTCAAAAAATTTAGCATTTAGCCAAGTGCTGAGCATCCCAGCACTTGGGGAGGCCAAGGCGGGTGGATCACTGAGGTCAGGAGTTTCCAGACCAGCCTGATCAACATGGTGAAACCCCATGTCTACTAAAAATACAAAAAGTAGCCAGGCGTGGTGGTGGGCACCTGTAATCCCAGCTACTTGGGAAGGTGAGGCAGGAGAATCTGGGATTGAACCTGGGAGGTGGGGGTTGCAGTGAGCTGAGATGGTGCCACTGCACTCCAACCTTGGGTGACAGCAAGACTCCATCTCAAAAAGAAAATAATAATAATAATAACTAACATGTGATTTCTTGAGAATAATCTGCATATCAGATATACTTTGTTAAGGTTTAGCACACAGGTAGTTTGAATGCCATCCTCATAATTTCAGCCATAAGTATGTGCACAAGTCTTACTGTAACTAGCTTGGCAGTTTTCTAGATAGATTGTTCAGATGTATTAAATAAAACCATATTAAAAATAAATAAAAGGGTAATCCAGATCAAATTAATGTTATACATGTAACATATATTGCTTTTTAGCCAGGCATGGTGATACACGCCTCTACTCCCAGCTACTCGGATGCTGAGGCAGGAGGACTGCTGGAGCCCAGGAGTTTGAGGCCACCGTGAGCTATGATCGCCCCACTCACTCCAGCCTGGGCAACAGAGAGAAAGCCTGTCTGTATTTAAAAAAAAAGGAAAACTTTTGTTTGTTTTTGAGACTGAATTTCACTCTGTTATCCAGGCTGGAGTGCAATGGCACAATCTCAGCTCACTGCAACCTCCACCTCCTGGATTCAAGCAATTCTCCTGCCTCAGACTCCTGAGTAGCTGGGATTACAGGTGCCTGCTACCACGCCCAGCGAATTTTTGTGTTTTTAGTAGAGACAGGGTTTCACCATGTTGGCTAGGCTGGTCTTGAACTCCTGACCTCATGATCTGCCTGCCTCGGTCTCCCAAAGTGCTGGAATTACAGGCATGAGCCACCACACCTGTCCAAGAAAAACTTTTAACAATACACGTTGTTCAGTATATCTGAAAGTCCATATTTATCTATTCAAAGCCTTCATTTCATTCACTCCACACATGGGCCTTATGGTGCAGTCTGCCCTGAGCTTTCATCAGGCTGTTCAGGGTGGTTGCCCTGCCCACTTGCCTACTGCTGATAGGGTCTTTTCTCCCTTTTCACCTGTAGGAGGGGCTGGTTCCCGTCGTCATACACGAAGTTGCTAGAAGAAAATGAGACGGAAGCAATGACTCTGCCCATGCCAAGGTAGCCCTGAGTGTGGCTGAGCTCTCTCAGCGACAGAAACCCCCGCCTCCATAACTCCATATGGATGTCTCCATAACTCATCACCATCTAGCTCTAGCTCTAGCTCTGTTGCAGGCCCTGCCCTCAGCCTCGGCTCTCATGGATCAGTGAGACATGAGACTGTAGCTCACAGTGCCATCTGCTGTGATTTCTGTTGTCCCTGACTTTCTGACTGTCTGCTGCTTTGCTGACTGTTTGCTGTGAGGAGACACAGCCCAGGCCACCTCCTCTCCCCACTTCTGCGGCCCTCTGAAACTCCCTCCCTGTCCCCTGCACCTCCTGGTCACTAAATCCAACGCATGTGTTTTCCATCCTTATCTTACGTAGCAGCCTTTAACACTGTTGTATGCTTTTTCTGGAATGTTCTCTGACCCTGGCTGCTTGACCTGTGCTGTTTGTCATCTGCCTCACCAGCTCTTTACACCCTCTTCTGCCCATCAGTTAAGCATCAGTGTTCTTGGGGGTCACCCTGTGTCCATCCTTCCTGCCTCTGCTGGGCCATCTCGTCCACTCCTGTGGCCTGAACTACCCTGATGACCTTTGCTGAGCAGCACCTCCTTGTTGAAAACCCCCAAAGCCGTATTCCAGGCCAGATAATAACAGTAGTTACTGCATTGATTCTCTCATTTAATTCTTGCAGCAGCCGCCATGAGGGTGGGCCCCCACTTTAAAAAATGAGGCCAGGCCAGGTGCGGTGGCTCACGCTTGTAATCCCAGCACTTTGGGAGGCAGAGGCGGGTGGATCACGAGGTCAGGAGTTCAAGACCAGCCTGACCAACATGGCAAAACCTCGTCTCTACTAAAAATATAATAATTAGCTGGGCATGGTGGCACATGCCTGTAATCCCAGCTACTCAGGAGGCTGAGGCAGGAGAATTGCCTGAAACTGGGAGGTGGAGATTGCAGTGAGCCAAGATCATGCCACTGCACTCCAGCCTGGGTGACAGAGTGAGACTTCATCTCAAAAAAAAGAAAAAGAAAATGAGGCCAAGTGCAATGGCTCACATCTCTAATCCCAGCACTTTGGGAGGCCGAGGGGCTGTATCACAAGGTCAAGAGTTTGAGACCAGTCTGGCCAACACAGTGAAACCCCATCTCAACTAAAAATACAAAAATTAGCCAGGGGTGGTGGCGCATACCTGTGATCCCAGCTACTTGGGAGGCTGAAGCAGGATAATTGCTTGAACCCAGGAGGCAGAGGTTGCAGTGAGCCAAGATCACGCCATTGCACTCCAGCCTGGGTGACAGAGTGAGACTCTGTCGCAAAAAAACAAAAAAACAAAAAACAAAAAATCTAAGAGTGTTTTGTATTGACGTGTACTGTGTGTGGAGGTGTGTGTGAGACTTGAGTTCCGTTTTTGATTTGTGATTGCTTGTTACTGTCATCCTTGGTGAGGGACACGGAGGATGTTTAGGGTTTGCACGGTGAGACCGTGTCTTACGTGTGTGCTCTGTCCTGTTTGGGTTTGAGCCCCGCGCCAGTGAGAAGCGTCAGCACCTTGAACTTGTCTGAGAGCAGCAGTGTTGTCATCCCCCCACCCGACTACCTGGAATGCTTGTCCATGGGGGCAGCTGCTGACAGGAGGGCAGACTCGGCCAGAACTACATCCACCTTCAAGTCGCCGGCGTCCAAGCCAGAGACCATGGCTCCTGTGAGTAAAGCTGCACGGGGGCGTCCTGTGTACCGGACTCGCTGCCTCTGGGAGGCACAGGGCACTGTTCCCACCGTGACAACCTTGCTCTGCTCTGCCCCCAGTGGGAGGATGGTCGCTGGGGAGGAGGAGGAGGGGTCTTGTCACCTTTGATCCGCTAGATTCCCTTCCTTGTCATGCAGCCTTTAACCTTCTTGACTCCAGCCCTCTATCTTGTCGGTGACAGTTTACACACAGTAGCCCCCAGCTTGCTAGATTTTATTAGGTTTCTTATCTCTCCTGCCTGGCTGCAGTCTTTTAGCCATTTAATCCATTTTCTTCCATTTTCATATGCTCTGAAGGGAGGCTTAGGTTAAAAGTGCTAACTTCATCTTTCTTTAGAGAGTGTACTCCCAGGCACTCCGTATGTTATCTTTAACCCTAAACCCTCCGTCTGGGGTCTTAAGGTTAAAGATAACCCTGAAAGATAACCTTAAAACGCCCCTGGGGGCCTAGCATACCGCCTGGGCTCCCAGAACCAATTCATCCATTCCCGCAACCGTGCATGTCTGCTGGACACCAGGCCCTGGTGCAGGCTCTCCAGGTAGAGATGAACAAGGCAAGACCCTGCCTCTTCGGAACTTCGTTCTCGTGCAGACAATAAAAAATAAACAAAAACATCGAGATAAAGGCCATGGAGAGGGCTGTAATCCCAGCACTTTGGGAGGCTGAGGCAGGCGAATCACCTGAGGTCATGAGTTCAAGACCAGGCTGGCCAATGCAGTGAAACCCCATCTCTACTAAAAATGCAAAAATTAGCCAGGCATGGTGGTGGGGACCTGTAATCCCAGCTCCTCGGGAAGCTGAGGCAAGAGAATGGCTTGAACCCGGGAGACAGAGGTTGCAGTGAGCCGAGATCACACCATTGTACTCCAGCCTTGGGGACAAGAGCGAGACTTCATCTCAAAAAAAAAAAAAGCCATGCAGAGAATAATACAAGGTGAGGTGATGGTGGGGTGGGGAGGAATGCGGCTGGACATCACTCGTGGGTTGGGTTGGCTGAGATTGGTGCGCTCTGGCGTGAGACCTGTGGGAGAAGGGAAGGAGGCTGGGCACTGGTATCTGCACCCCTCGCTCCAGGAGCTGTCTTGCTTTGGGTGAAGGAGCCAGGGTTCTAGACCTTGTGTGTGGGGCCTTTGTTCAGCTGTGAGTGGTGCCCAGGCAGAGTCTCTTGATTATAGGAAATGGATGCACTTCTAAAATGCGCCCCAGACTTTCATGTGACTCCGTGTGAGCCTTGAGGCGTCTGGGAAATAGACCTGCCTCAGTGTAGGCTACAGTGGCTTGCTTTGGTTTAGGAATGCTAGCTTTTGAAACTGTATTCAAAATGTCTTTGAGGCCAGGTGCAACAGCTCACATTTGTAATTCCAACACTTCGGGAGGCCAAGGCAGGAGGATCGCTTGAGCCCAGGAGTTTTAGACCAGCCTGGGCAATATAGCAAAACCCCATATCTACAAAAAAATGCAAAAGTTAGCCAGGTGTCATGGCACATGCCTGTAGTCTCATCTGTTCAGGAGGCTGTGGTGGGAAGATCGCTTGAACCCAGAAGGTCAAGGCTGCTGTGAGCCATGATCATCCCACTGCACTCCAGTCTGGACGACAGAGACCCTGTCTCCAAAAATGTAAAATGAAAATTGTTGACAGTGCAGTTGTTAGAATCTGGATCCAGATCAGCTCCAGACATTGTACTTGGTGGATGGTCTCATGAGGCCTTCTCCATCTGCCCATCTCCCCTTCTGTCTCTCTTTCTTTGCAATCTGTTTGTAAAAGAACCGGTCGTTTGTCCTGGTGGGTGTCCCCCATGTGGGTTTTGCTGATGGCGTCCTTGCTACATTCCCCCATGTCTCCTGTGTTTATAAATTGGTAGTAAGGCCTCAGGCCCTGCTCAGAGTCTATTGCTGCTTTGCTTGTTTGTTCGGTTTTGCTGGAGCATTTCGACGGTGAGGAGGCACATGGGGATGTGTGTTTGTCTCTCTTTGTGATGTTCATAGCTGTTGATGTTCACCTAGCCTGCTGCTTCATTAAAGTTGGATAATGCCTTTTAAGGTAAAAGAATCTTGCCCCAAAATATCCATTAGTTCTGGCCGGGCACGGTGGCTCACGCTTGTAATCCCAACACTTTGGATAACCCGAGGTCAGGAGTTCGAGACTAGCCTGACCAACATGAAGAAACCCTGTCTCTACTGAAAAATACAAAAAATTAGCCAGGCATTGTGGCACATGCCTGTAATCCCAGCTACTTGAGAGGCTGAGGCAGGAGAATCACTTGGATGGACCCAGGAGGCGGAGGTTGTAGCGAGCTGAGATCATTCCACTGCACTCCAGTCTGGCGACAGAGGGAGACTCCATCTCAAAAAAAAAAAAAAAAAAAAAATCAGTCTGGAATTATAAGTGAGAACACCGACACTTTGGCCAACACAGCATAGTCTCTGGTGTTATGAAACGAAAACGCGCTATTGTCAGTGTATTTATCACGTGGGTGAAGCTTGGTGAAGAAAACATTGTCACCACCGTTCTTACTGCAGGGAACTGGAGGAATTGAAGAAGCCTGGCTTTAAGTATCAGTATACTCAGTAATGACAGATTCTTCCTTATTTAGCACTGGGGAGTGTAAAAGTGACCTGGCTTCATTTTTAAACCTCTTCGTTGGCTGAATCATGACATTCTGTCAGTGTCGGGCAGCTGCTAGCTATCTGAGGCTTCCTACTTCCTTGGGCAAAGCACACACACCACTGTCACCGGAGGGCTGGGCTGGGCTGGGCAGGGTCTGCCTGCAGGGGCGACCTGGTGCTCTGTAGCCTCCACGGCACAGTTGGCCCAGGTGGACACCACTGCCGCCCTTCCCACCTGAGATCCTGTTCTCAGCTCGTGTCCACAGGCTTCAGCCTGTCGCCTCCATGGGAGAGATTTCCAGTCATCCTGTCCCCGGCTGCCTCCACGGGCTGCACCCGCCAAAGCTCACTCCCACACAGACCACCCTCCCTCCCACCTCTACCACACAGACACACGCACATGCACATATGCACACACACACACCGTCATCTTCAGGTCCCCAATACACACACACACACACACACACACACACACACACACACACACCCCATCATCTTTAGGTGACCCCTGTCTGTCTCAAAAGCTAGAAGGCTTTTCAGTCTTTCATTTTAGCAGCCTTTCATTTCTGGTTTCATCTAAGAATATTCAAAAGCCCCAAATAGCTAATGAGAATGCCCTCCTTCTGTGGATTCTAATAATTTCAGTTGTCATTGATTCTGTGTGTGAGTCATGATTGCCGATTAACTTAATGATCACTGAAATCAATGAGAAGGCCTGTCCAGCACAGGGGTGGAGTTGATGCCCACAGGGAGGTCATGCTTATCACTGACAGCAGCTGATATTCCCTGGACAGCAGACTTCTGTCAACACAGTCACATGAAAGGGAGGGTTCAGCTGTAGGGGAGGGGTTTTGTGGACAGAGATGAGACCATCCCATCAGCACTCATCCAGCCTGCATCGAGGGGCGGCTAGTGCCAGGCCTTCGGGACACAAATAGGAATGAGACCCACGCAGGGGTGGAGTCCAGAGAGCACACGATGCCTGGGGCTAGGACAAGGGGAGAGGCCAGGCTTCCTGGGACGTATCAGGGGAGGCTTCTAGGAGGAAAGCATCGGAGCCAAGCTCTGAGGCATGAGCTTCAGCAGAAACACAAGGCCCAGGCATTGTGGTGCCCTGGGGGGACTCAAGAGCTGGGGTTGGGCAGCAGCCAGAGAAGCAGGATGAGCCCCCACGCTGCTGCCTGGGTTCTGGCTGGACTGCGAGGGGAGTGGCGCCACCAGCCCCCTCCTGTCTTTTGTACCTGCACACCCTTCGTACCCTCATGGTGCTTCCTGGGTGGTGCCTGTGCTGGGACCTCCTAGGAGGTAGAGGGATTGCGGGGCCTTGGGAAATGGAGAAAGAGAGGCACAGAAGAATGACAGCCGCTCTCCAGGGCCCATGGCAGATTAGAAACCCCATTCCCGGCCTCCACATCAGTTCACTTTCCCAGTAGGAAACCCTGTGGCCTTCTGCGCAGTTATTTTAACATCCTGTGCAGACTACAAAAGCGTTGCGTGGGGTGGTGGGGACCACAGCGGTCACCTGCATTCAGCCTCTGTGGATGCGCTCCTTTTGTTTTGTTTTGTTTGAGAGGGAGTCTCACTCTGTCATCCAGGCTGGAGTACAGTGGTGCCATCTCAGCTCACTGCAACCTCTGCCGCCCGGGTTCAAGTGATTCTCCTGCCTCAGCCTCCTGAGAGCTGGGACTACAGGCATGCCGCACCACGCCTGGCTAATTTTTGTAGTTTTTAGTAGAGACGGGGTTTTACCATCTTGGCCAGGTTGGTCTTGAACTCCTGACCTCATGATCCACCAGCCTTGGCGTCCCAAAGTGCTGGGATTACAGGCGTGAGCCACTGCGCCCAGCCAATAGTGCTCCTTCTGCTAGACAAGCAACCACGTTTCGTCCAGACAATCCCAGGCAGGAGTTCTGGGAGTGCAGCTGCGGGAAACAGCCTGCAGAAGCATCAGCACTGCTCCATGGGACGTAACTGGGATCAGGGAATGGCTGTGTGTTCTGGCCTCCTGAACCAGCAGGGAGCACGGATCAAGCATCTGTGTCAGGGACGAGCAGCGCAGTTGGAAATGCCCCCTGCCCAGTCCGTCAGCCACAGGCACACAGGGCAGCAGAGCACTTGAAAAACAGATGGTGCAACAAAGGAACTGGGCGTTTCATTGTATTTCTTTTCATTTTATGTATTTATTTAGTTCTTTGAGATTGAGTCTTACTCTGTCTCCAGGCTGTAGTGCAGTGGCGTGATCTCAGTTCATGGCAACCTCCACCTCCCGGGTTCAAGCGATTCTCATGCCTCAGCCTCCCAAGTAGCTGGGATTACAAGTGCCTACCACCATGCCCATTTTTGTATTG